CGAAGAGCCCCCCCTGCCACAAGTACCTCCACCACACTAACCAGTCCCAGGAAGGTATAGTATTTGGGCCTTACCCAGGACTAATCTTTAAGCTCTTCTGCCCTGGTTATCTTCACCCCTCATGGGCAGTCTCTCACATCTGGGCTTTTTCACCCCCGAAGCCGTTCTTGTTGTACAAGAGAGAGGCTGGGGCTGTCCCTCGTGTCTCCTGGTCTGGTTGACCTGGAACACCAGAAGTGTGTAATCCTGGTCTCAGGCTGCATGAAGTGGGTGGGTGGAGTGGGTGGGATTCAGAAGATTTCATGTTGTGGGGGGAAATGAATCCCCCACTGTTTGCACCCGAATCTGTCCTGTCCCATTTCCTCTCTGGGGCCCCGAGTGTCACAAAGCCTGAGGCTCAGCCCAGAGTCCGTGTGCGGGTTTGTGCCAAGGCCTTTGCCCCAGTGCAGCTGTCTGTGATGTGGAGGCTGCCTGGGATTCATTAGCAGAGGAAAGCTCCATGGGCTCATTCCCGGCACCAGACATTGCCCCAGAAACAGGGAGGAGGGAGCTCAATGCTCTCAATCCTCCACTCCCAGAGCATTTCTTGGAGGGATAATGCATGAAACATGATGGGTTTTGCTACCAGGCAGTGTAAGGCAGTGCTCAGCACACACTCCTGACTGGTGACAAGCCCCAGAAATGCACCCCGAGGCTGTTCACCCTTGTACCCAGATGCTGCTTTCGGGACTGCCAGAGATCAAGGGCAAGCATTGCAGATTGGTCTCACCAAAGCACTGGCGCTTGTGGAGCATGTCAGCCCAGTCAGGTGGAGGCTCAGCACCATCTGCCCCTGGACCCACCAGTGCTGTGGGATACAGCAGCCCTTTGAGAGCCTCATTTTTCCTTTGAGCAGATCCCTCTGGTCTCATTCTCATCCTCTTAAAACGTGAACCTATTCAGGTACAGTCCAAACACACATGTCCCGCATGTTTTTTGGATCAGGGCCTGAGCTGATGGGGCTGAGATCTGGGCCAGAAACCTTGAGAGTCTGCCTCCTAACTCCACCGACTAGGGAAGATGAGACTGGCACGGGGATCTGGCACTGCCTCACCCCCAGCACTTGGGCCTGTGGTCGAAAGACCTAGTTTTCTCAAGGAAACAGAAGTGCCAAGGTCCAGTCCTGCTCTGAGGCCCATCCCAGCAGAGGGAATAGCAGTGCTTGCCCCTTGGCAGCAAGGCAGGGTCTAATCTGGTGTTTCTTTCTCCCATGCAGGACATGCGTGGTTGCTGAGCAGAACTGAGGAGCAGGCTCCTGAGGAAGGGCCTGGAAAGCTGGAGCCACCATGGGCTTCCCTGGGGAGTATGGGCGAGGTGTATTCCCTGAGCCCAGAGAAGGACCAATGGCACAAGGGTCAGGGGATGCCCCCAAAGCAGGAGACTGTAGCAGTGAACATGCTCCCATCTCTAGTTGGGCATTGGAGTGAAGAGGGGAAAGAAGCCCTCTTTGTGGTGCTGAGACAGCTGAAGAGGCAGAAAGCAAAAGTGTACTGGAGAGAGAGACTGCATTTAAACCAAGGCAGTGTGGGGGGCCTCAGAGGGAAGCAGGAGCTCACTGCCAAGCCCAGGGGGAGAGCTCACTCCTGCTCTCAGTGCAGGAAAAGCTTTAGTTTCCCCTCGCGCCTGGCTCTGCACAAGATAAGGCACGCTGGGGAGAAGCCCCATGTACGCGCCACGTGTGGGAAGAGCTTCTCCTGCCTCTTGCCCCTGGCTGCTCACCATCCGCCCCTGGACCCACCAGTGCTGTGGGATACAGCAGCCCTTTGAGAGCCTCATTTTTCCTTTTAGCAGATCCCTCTGGTCTCATTCTCATCCTCTTAAAACGTGAACCTATTCAGGTACCGTCCAAACGCACATCTCCCGCATGTTTTTTGGATCAGGGCCTGAGGTGATGGGGCTGAGATCTGGGCCAGAAACCTTGAGAGTCTGCCTCCTAACTCCACCGACTAGGGAAGATGAGACTGGGACAGGGACCTGGCACTGCCTCACCCTGGGCACTTGGGACTGTGGCCAAAAGACCTAGTTTTCTCGAGGAAACACAAGTGCCAAGTCATGCCCTGCTCTGAGGCCCATCCCAGCAGAAGGAATAGCAGTGCTTGCCCCTTGGCAGCAGGGCAGGGACTAATCTGGTGTTTCTTCCTCCCATGCAGGACATGCGTGGTTGCTGAGCAGAACTGAGGAGCAGGCTCCTGAGGAAGGGCCTGGAAAGCTGGAGCCACCATGGGCTTCCCTGGGGAGTATGGGCGAGGTGTATTCCCTGAGCCCAGAGAAGGACCAATGGCACAAGGGTCAGGGGATGCCCCCAAAGCAGGAGACTGTAGCAGTGAACATGCTCCCATCTCTAGTTGGGCATTGGAGTGAAGAGGGGAAAGAAGCCCTCTTTGTGGTGCTGAGACAGCTGAAGAGGCAGAAAGCAAAGGTGCACTGGAGAGAGAGCCTGCATGCAAACCAAGACAGTGTGGGGGGCCTCAGAGGGAAGCAGGAGCTCACTGCCAAGCCCAGTGGGAGAGGCCACTCCTGCCCTCAGTGCAGGAAAAGCTTTAGCTTCCCCTCGTGCCTGGCTCTGCACAAGATAAGGCACACTGGGGAGAAGCCCCATGTACGCGCCACGTGTGGGAAGAGCTTCTCCTGCCTCTTGCCCCTTGCTGCTCACCACCAGATCCATTCTGGACAGCTCCCCCACCGCTTCACCAAAAGGGGGAAGAGCTTTGTGCGCAGCTTGGAGCTGCTCAAAACCCATGATGTGCAAAGGGAGAAGTGTCAGTACCGCTGTGTCACGTGTGGTAAGACGTTCACCCATTTCTTCTCCCTGGTTCAGCACCGGCGCATGCACTTGGGGAGGAAGACACACCAATGCAAAAAGTGCAGGAAGAACTTCATTAGCTGGCAAGGCCTGTCCCAGCACCGTTGTGTGCGGAGGATGCAGCAGCCACACTGCTGCACAAAGTGTGGGAAGAGCTTCAGGCAAACCTCCAGCCTGGCCCGGCACAGGTGCATGCACACATGGGAGAAGCAACATCATTGCTCTGTGTGTGGGAAGAGCTTCATCTCCTCTTCCAAGCTGGCCCAACACCGGGTTATCCACACAGGGCAGAAGCCACATCAGTGCTCTGAGTGTGGGAAGAGCTTCAGTTATGCTTCTGAGCTAGCTTGTATTCACATGGGAGAGAAGCCATATCTGTGCTCTGAGTGTGGGAAGAGCTTCACTTATTCCTCCTCCCTGGCCAAGCACAAGCGCATTCACATGGGAGAGAAGCCATATCAGTGCTCCGAGTGTGGGAAGAGTTTCATTTATTCCTCCCACCTGACCAAGCACCTGTGTGTCCACACAGGGGAGAAGCCATATCAGTGCTCTGTGTGTGGGAAGAGCTTCAGTTATTCTTCTTCCCTGGCCAAGCACAAGCTCATTCACACGGGAGAGAAAACATATCAGTGCTCTGAGTGTGGGAAAAGCTTCAGTTATTCCTCCTCCCTGGCCTGCCACCAGCGTACTCACACGGGAGAGAAGCCATATCAGTGCTTTGAGTGTGGGAAGAGCTTCAGTTATTCTTCTTCCCTGGCCAAGCACAAGCTCATTCACACGGGAGAGAAAACATATCAGTGCTCTGAGTGTGGGAAAAGCTTTACTTGCTCCTCCGGCCTGGCTCAGCACCGACGCAGCCACACAGGGGTGAAGATGCATCAGTGCTCTGTGTGTGGGAAGAGCTTCACCCACTCCTCCCACCTGACGCAACACCAGCGTGTCCACATTGGGGAGAAGCCATATCAATGCTCCGAGTGTGGCAAGAGTTTCAGCCTCCTCTCCAGCCTGGCCCGTCACCAGCGCATCCACACCGGGGAGAAGCCATATCAGTGCACTGAGTGTGGGAAGAGCTTCACCCAAGCCTTCTTCCTGGCCAAGCACCAGTGCATCCACACAGAGGAGAAGCCATGCCAGTGCTCTGAGTGTGGGAAGAGTTTCAGCATCCTTTCCAGCCTGGCCCGGCACCAGCGTGTCCACACAGGGGAGAAGCCATATCAGTGCTCTGAGTTTCAGCGTCCTCTCCAGCCTGGCCCGGCACCAGCTCATGCACAAAGGGAAGAAGCCACATCATTGCTCTTAGTGTAGG